TAATCCATGGGGGGATGCAGCAGAAAAGGTTTGGGAACCACTGCTTTAGATGATCCAGTTTAGTTATTTATGGGGGAAACTTTTCTTGAAGCAGGTTCACGGTTCATATTTAGCTTTTATTTTGTTAAAATATGTCCATAAGTTTAAATCTGGAAACGTTTTGGGTTTTAAAAGCATCCGGTCGTTTTTCTGGTTGTTGATGGTGGAGGTTCATCATTTGGCTCAGAGATGGTGTCCTAGCGCAAGTAATGCTGGGTTGTGCTCATTCCTGCCATCATGTGAAGGTTTGTGACCTTTGACCTCCGTGGTTCTGCTCTGCAGGGAAAACGATCGCCATCGGCAAAGTGCTGAAGCTGGTTCCAGAGAAGGACTAAACGCGGCGGCGCCGGCATGCATGGAGTTCCTCCACCTGTTAGCGGGCGGAGAAACAGCGCCAGACCCAACCGCCACTCTCTCTCTCTGTTTAAAAACACAACGTTACTGAAGAGAAGAAGAAGAGGAGGAGGAAGAGTGGAATCATGTCACGTGAAGAAAAAGAAACGAGACTGAATCAGTTTTTTTATGAACATTATAGAATGAGAGCCCAAGTCCAGAGTGTCAGCTTTCTCATATTGAGAGCTCTGCTATGCCACTAATGTAGCTACACGCCCCCACCCCGTCACCATGGTTACGCTGTCGGCTGGGCGCCATGTTTGCTTTCAGGATGGAGGTGGATGATGTCTAGTTCCTGCAGAAGCACCAGAGTTAGCTCGGTGTTCCACCGGCGCGGTTTCCTGCAGATGCATTGATCTGATTTTAGGGAAAGTTGCACCAGATCTTTAGTTGGTTCTCTGGGTTATCTGGACCGGGCTCACACACAGTTCTGCTGCTGACCCCAGGATGGAAACATGCTCACATAAACAGGCACAGAGCTGTTACATTAATCCAGTCTGAAAATAAACGGTCAACCTGAAACCACGGCCTGTTCGTTTACTCACTGAAACCGTAAAACCAACGTTTCTGACGTTTTTCCCTCAAAAACAAACCTGGAGCGATTGGGAAATCCTTTAGTCTCCATGACAACCATTCAGCTGTTAAAACGTCTGGATGGCCCTAGCCCCGCCTCCCAGGTGCACCTCCTCCCCCACTCAGCTCCTCCAAACTAGCCAGAAGCAATTGGCAAACAGCTACTACTGCTCAGAGGAACGCTGGTAAAAACGATAAAGGGTTAATAGAGGAGCCATATTGGAATGACTTCCTGGAGGCGGAGCTTCAGAAAGAGCAGGAGTTCTTAAAGAGACAGAGGCCCAATTTCAAGGAGTTAAATCAGGAAGTCAAATTTCTTTTGTTATATTTTAAATATGTTTAGCATTTTATAGCCACTGAAGGTAACATAATTACTTGATTATGCTATAAAATGGCACCATTGAAAACGCCCCTTTAAAAAAAACACCCAGCTGAAATGTTTGCACTAAATATGAGTTCATATTAGTGTTCATAAGAATAAAAACAGTGTGAATACAGTAAGAAAATAGTTATTTGTCATGTTTCATTGTTTCTCATTTTATTCAAGGAAATTGTGATCTGAACATCAGCCATCAGCTAGTAAGCCTGTTCAGGGATCGATTGGTAGTGTCTCCATCCTCCACTAGGGGGCGCGTTTCATCTCTGGCACAGAGGGAACAACAGGCCTGGAGGTTTTAAGTGACACAAACTAAATACTGACGGCTAGAAACGGGAATCTGACATGTTGTAATCCTGATATTATTGGCAATAAACAGGAATGGATAAACAGCTTGATAAAGTATTTAACGTACCAAATAAATAGAAAAATAGAACTTTTCCATTTTATTTCAAGTCTTATATTTTTAACTTTAATTTTTTCAATTTTTTTATATTTTATTTATTTTTTTGCTTATTGTCCTTTTATTTTTTTATATTCAGAATTTAAGTTGTTTCTTTAACGTCACTTTTAATTATACATGGATTTATTTTCTCTTCTAATGAGCAGATATTAATTTGTTACATTGTATAATCAAATAAGATCTATTTGTTGAAAGAAGCAGTTGTCACATGAAAAACTTTATCAAGTCATTTATTTGTTTGTTTCCAGTAATGACAGGATCTGTCCTCCATACCTGAGACTCCGTTCACTAATATACTGTTTACAAAATAAAATTACGAAAGTAGTAACGCAGAGTAACTTTACTCTGATTATTGAAAAGGGAATAGTAACGCTTTAGATTACTCGTTATGAAAAGGCGGTTGGATCAGAGTAGCGCGGTACCCGTAGTTTTGTCATGCGCTTTCGTACTGATAAAGTTCCACTTTGTATATCGTGACGTAGACCTGACTGCCTCCTCAGTGCGCATGCGCAGCCTTGGCACACGTGAAACAGACGGCATGGCAGAGAACACAGAAGTACCGTTGGACCGGGCTCAGGTAAGGGTTTATCTCTGGTTACCTGGCGGCTCTACCAGAACCCGATGGGCGACTTCTGGGCTTCCGGTCGGGTTCTGGACGGGACCGTCTGGAGCCTCGACATTCCTCTGCGGGGTTCGGCTAGGTGGATGCTAGTTAGCCGGCTACCTAGCCGGCGTCTCTCCGCCACATCCAGCTGTTTATTTTCGGCTTTAACCAAAGTCGCCTTCGCCCCTCAGGTGAAGAAGGCCGTCCAGGCTCTGCAGAGTTTCCTGAAATCAAAGTCCAAGACAGATGTTCTGCTGCTGGATGACGGCCAGCCGATCAGCCTGCTCTTCACCCTGTGGAAGATCCCCAGACAGACGCAGACCATCCGCATGTGAGTCCTGGTGGTGGGACGTTTGCTAACGGGGAGAAAAATGTTCATCTTGTGTTTGTTTGGTCGGTCAGAATGGATGTCAGTGGTCTGGACGTCGATTCTCAGTGTTGAGAAGTCAGATGTATCGGTTATCGATCATAACAGCGATATTAATATCGGATATCGGCCAAAGTTTTTCTGTCTGTGAATTCCTATTAAAATGTTTAGAAATGGCGTGAAACAGGAAGGGATGTTTGACTAATTTTCCTGTAGTTTCCACTCCGTCGCTGCAGACTACATTGTGTTGTTCTGTCTTATGAAATTGATCATTTAAAGTTATAATGTAAACAAATGGGAAGGAATATATTGTTTGTAAAGTTCTAGTGCGACGTTTTCAAACAAAGTAATTTAATGTAGCGTTGCAGTGATTGTAGTTTTCTGGCCAATCACTGAAAATATAGACACCATTGTTTTTTTTGTTGTTTTGTATGAAAAGTGGCTCAGTGTAGCAAACAAAGGCTACGTTCACCCGGGAGGCGAATGCACCCAACGTTTTCATGTCAGTCTGATCATTTCACTCCAAAAAAAGTTCTGGTCTGTTCCACTTCCACTTGGGAAACTAAACCTGATGGTTTTAGAAACATCTGGAATCTAAACGCTGGGGTCGAATTTTATCCGACTTTTCTGTGGTTGACTGAAACATTCGTCATAATTCAGCAGAAGAAGAATCCAGATGGTGAATCTGTAAACGATGTCTGAAAATGACAAGCAGTCTGGGTCAGTGAATGCATCACATCCCAACCCCCCAGTCCTGGTCCGACTCCCAGCAGAACCGGGTCAGAAGCTGCTGTTAGCTGTTAGCTCTCTTCGTCTGCTGACCATCTGCTCTCGACAACTTTAACATCCATCCAGAGACGGCGGCCATCTTTACTGCCGTAACCAGACGCTGCTGGGGGACGGCTGCGTTGTTCTTCTTGGGTCGCTTCCGGGTCAGAACCGTTCACATCTGCATTTTATTAGTAGTGGGAAAACCATACAGTAAAAAAAATGATTTCAGCAAAAGATCATAGCTGAGCATCAAGAGCTGCTGGGTGAATGTAACCAATCCCTGATTTTAATGTCAGTTTTTTGTGTTTTCAGTTTGATGTTGCACAGATCAGAACTGAATCAGGGTTAAATATTACAGTTTTCCGCCCCGGCTGAATCGTGGTCTCTGTTCTCAGTCCTCTGCCTCACGGCCAGCGCTCCGACACCGACGAGGTCTGCCTCTTCACCAAAGACGAGCCCAGAATGTCGGCGGAGCAGACCCAGAGGTTCTACAAGAAGCTGCTGGAGGAGCGGGGCGTCAGAAACGTCTCAGAGGTGCTGCAGGAGCTGCAGGCCAAAGTAAGTACACCCACAGCGGGTTTTCTAACTAAATGTTTCTTTGTTTAGATCATACCGCTTAAAACCCTGAAGAAGGAATACAAGCCGTACGAAGCGAAGCGGCGGCTGCTGGGAAACTTCGACATGTTCCTGTCCGATGAGCGGATCCGCCGCCTGCTGCCGTCGCACCTGGGGAAACATTTCTACACGACCAAGAAGTGAGTTTCCTGCTGTCTGGATGGAGATCTGTTCTTCCTGACCTTTGACCTTTTATTTAAGGCTCCAGCTAAAGACTGTCTTAGTAATCAGTTATCCTGATGATTAGTTAATTTACAGCTGGAATAATTAATCAATTATTTGAACGATATAGAATTAGAAATACATTAAAGGATGCTAATAAATAAATGTAATTAAGAAAAGAAAACATTTCCTCAAATTCAGTAACATCATTCCTTTAGCTTCAAAGGATTCCTCTAACAAATGCTAACATTTTTATTGTCTTATATGCAAATAGTTTTGGATTAATTAATGCTCTGAGTGTTTTGTTCTTCATTCTGTTTAATCCAGTTAATGATTACTTGAAAATCAAATTGGTGACAATTTAATCAATTAATCCTGATTATTCTGATAAATATTTTCAGCCCAGTTTAGGTCCAAACGGATCGATCTGTTAGAACGGCCCGGTTCAAAGATCCAGTCAGAAATAAAGATGAACTGGTTCATTATTTCAGTTTGACTGTTTATTTAACTTTATGATTAATAGATTATTTCTAATCATGATTGATCGCCATCAATCGGTTGTCGTTTTGTTGCAGTAAACATGTTTTCTGTTTTTCCCAGAATGCCGATCTCCATCAACCTGCAGAGCAACAATCTGGGCCGAGACGTCCAGCGGCTCGTCCAGGGAACCCGACTGACCGTCACCAACAGAGGCTGCTGCAGGTCCGACCCGACCCCCTCTCATCAGAACCACAGTAACCTGCAGGTCCAGACCAGTCCGGACCGTTTCTGACCGGTCCACTCAAAGGAACGTCCTTTGACTGAACCGGTCCAGATCGGTCCAGTCAAATCAGACCAACAGTTTCCTGTTTCAGCTCCGTTGGATCAATGAAAGTTTTTCTGTTTGTTAAACGACAGAAAATGAGTTTAAAGTTCAGCTCAGTTTCTCTGGAGTTTCTAAGCTTCAGGATTTCCACATCATGTTTTTCCCTCTTGCACCACAGCATGATGCTGCCACCACCGTACTGTACAGTTAGGATGGAACAAGTGTTTTCATTTCCCTCCTAATGTAGTGATGCTGATTCTGTCCAGATATTTCAGTTTTATGTTCATCAGACCAAAACTCTCCACTACAATCAGTTTTCCTCAGTAATGACGTCTTCCTCAGCCAGTAATGGTGCATTGTGGGTAACAGGGATGTTCCCTTCCTGAACAGTGGCTGCTTCCATGATGAATATAGTTTTATAATAATTAAATGTGGATCCAGAAATCTTTGCTGATTTATTCATGATGTCATCCACCAGCTGTGAGTGGCCTCCAGTTCTTGGGTGTATGTAAACTTGTGGCCTCCAGTTCTTGGGTGTATGTAAACTTGTGGCCTCCAGTTCCTGGGTGTATGTAAACTTGTGGCCTCCAGTTCTTGGGTGTATGTAAACTTGTGGCCTCCAGTTCCTGGGTGTATGTAAACTTGTGGCCTCCTGCAGCATGGCGCGCGTCGCTCACTCCAACATGACGGCAGACGAGGTGACGGAGAACGTGGAGGCGGCGGTCCGGACGGTGGCCGCCAAGCTGCGGATGGTGAGTCAAAGGTCAAAGGTCGGAGGGGAACTGCTCCCTCCGACCAGAGGGGGCAGCACTGAGGAAAGAAACTGCAATGTCACAATTTGGACAGAAAAACTTAAAGATGGAACCAATTCAGAAAATTTATCTTATATTTTTGAAGGGAGATTTTATTTAGACTTCATATTCCATTTATTAATTTTTCAGTTTTTTGGATTTTATATTTAAAATGTCTTCCAGGTCTGGAAAGTTTATTGAACTTGCTTTATTACGCCATTGTCAGAATCGTGTTAAATGTTTATTATAGTTTAAAGTTGATTGATCTTTGTGTTCCTTCATTATTACCATTATATTTCTGGAAAATGGTCTCAAAACATCAATATTATCATTTATCATGATCAGTTCTGGAACAGTTTGTTATGGAGACATTTCCACGTTTAAAATCCTGAGTTTTGAATCAACAATGTAGAAACCAGATTTCATTCACCTAATTAAAATATTGTGTGCTTAGATTAATACTGAGCAGCTTAAAAATGTCTTCAGTTTTATTTTTTTGACCAGTTGTGATTCATTTTTTCTGGAAAACACGTTTGTTTCTTTTTTTTAGCAGAATTTATTGAATAAGTTTAGAAACTTGAAGAGTGTGTTAATTTTTTCTTTTCTGTCTGTGTTGACAGAAGGGATCAATCGTGAAGCTGATCCACTTGAAGAGTCTGACTTCAGTGGCGTTGCCCACCTACCCGTCCGACCTGAGCCGCATCAGCGTGCTGCAAAGATCCAAGGTCAGACCAAAATGACCTTCATGAGCAGAAGAGTTTTTATTTTCTAACCAACCAGCAACATGTCTGTGATCTACAGGAAAATTCAAAAACAAAGAAGGTGAAGAAGAACGAGGCGGGAGACGAAACGACAAAGGAACAGAAGAAGAAACAGAGGGATGAAGAGGAGGAAGAAGAGATCCCACAGCTGGTTCCCATAGAAACGCCCAGCAAAAGACCCAAAATGGAGGTCGGCGTTTCCTCCTTCCTCTGCAGCATCTGCAGTCTGACGTCTGCACCAAGTTTATCCCCTTTATGTTCTTATTTTTCAGAAACCGATGCAGAAACCAACCAAACCTGCCGCAGCAAAGAAGGTCACCACGGGGTCGAAGGTCACCACGGGGTCGAAGGTCACCAAGGTTTCGATCAAAGCAACCAGGAAGGCCAGCAAGGCGGCGCAGACAGGAAGGAGAAAAGTCCCTAAAGGGAAATGATTCTCCTGCACAGACTGAGTTCACAGGATCTGATTCAGTTTCTGTTTGTGTCCAAATCACCGAGTTATTAAATCTGTTTCTGAAAATACCAGCAGCTGATCCAGTTCCCTGTTTAACGTTTGAACATTCATGACTCGTTTGCAGGAATAAAAAACATTTTCGTTTTTATTGAAATGACAGAAGATGAACGAAATCAGAATGTTTCTATTTTACTGAACCTCAGAAAATGGAAAAATTAGAAAGTTTTATAGTTTTGACTCAACATTTAGCATTTTCATTTATTTCTTGCAGGAATTTAGGAGTTATGGTCCCCATAGAAAAATTACAAAAATTAATTTAAATTTTCATGTGTATAAAAATTACATGACTTTATAATAATGTCATGTATGAAATGGATAAAATGACAGTGAACTTTGACCTTTGAGCTTCTAAAAGGATCACTAACGGCTAAAGTGACTGTCGGAGGTAACGGAGTTGTTCACTAACAATTTCTCAATTTTTCACATAATTCCTGAAATAAATGTATGAATCAGCTTTTGAATCGGTTTTGAATCATTTCAACTCCAGTTTCTGAAAGATTTTGATATTTTTTCTTGGAAAGTTGCAGTTTTATTTAGAGTTTGTACCTTACTGGAGATAATAAAGCTCCATTTGCTGTATTGTTGGTTTAATGTTAGAATAAATGTTTTTTGTTTTTGGATCATGTGTCACAATATTTATTTAAATTATGAAATGAGAAACGAATCTCCTTTGTTCTCTTGAACTCGGATCAGAACCATGACGCTGTGATGACATCACAGTCAGAAAAAACAGAGTGATGCGTTCATGACTGCACTTCCTGTTCCAGAAATACCGCGGTCCGTGGAGGGGGCGGGGCCACGATTTTAGCTGAGTCAGCGCCTGATCACGACATGGCTCCGGTTTTATAGAAACGATCTGTTCAAATCAGAACCGTGGAGCCCAGAGCCGGGCTTCCTAAGGCTCCGGACCGACTCTGGATCAGGGGGGCCAAAGTGTGCGGGTTGACCTTTGGGGTGATGCTGGTCTCT